TCATAATAATGTTATTAGACCACGTTACTGCCACAATTTCCTCCCTTGGCCGAAGCATGGCTCCACCACTGGCCTCGAGGGTAGTTGCCTCGAGATGTCAAATTTGACTATTGCAAGAGAAGCTTGTGATGCATTAATTCTTTTATTACGAAGTTAGGCATTTGTAACTATTCATCAACTCCTCAATAACTAACTACTTGTAACTATTCATCAACTCCTCAATAACTAACTACTATGTTTAAAAATTTATTAAAAAAATTATTTTTTATCACCCAAAAACTTCCTATAATTGTTTATGTAAATTCTCAAGTGAAAAAAAAGATGGGTGAATAAAAGGGTAACCAACATTATTTTATATTCATACTATCACTTAATTAATTCATTGCCAAACTCTATAAGGAGCATGGCTCTCACTGTCTTACTCAGTCCAAAGATACCTTAGCCAAAAAACATTGTTATTTGGGCTGCTGTAGTAGATACCATCCTCAGCCGCTTTCCAATAGACCTTTCCGGTCGGTAGAGAAGTATTGCCTTGGTCGTCGACAGTAAAAACATCGAAGCTCTTGTCCTTTTGATCCCATCTCAAATGGCAAAAGAATAGAGTGCTATTAAAAAAATTGATCTTGAAATGCGAATAGAACACCTCACCCACATAAAGGGAATGCACCCCAAGATCATTGTCTTTAGATTGGCAGCGAATGATCAATGGGTGCGTGTTGTTTTTGAAGCCATTGATGACATGAAAAATGCAACATATGAACGGAAGCTCGTTGTGCTATCCACTCCAACGAGCTTCCGTTCTACCAATGTTGAACTGCAAAATATGAAAAATGTTAGGAAAAGGAAGCAGTGATTAGAAGGGGTGGTTTAGTAACGTTTTTATTTTCACGTCTTCAAAAAAATAAAAAACAGAGATAATTTTTGTCTCTGTTTTGTGGTAAACACTAAAACAGAAAACATGTTTGGAAATCATTTTTGTTTATCAAATTATAAGAATAAAAACAAAAAACATGTTTGACAACTATTTCAAGTTTTATCTTAAATATGCTTTATAATATCTCATACAACAAAATACAAATTCAAAAAAGAAAAATTTTATTTATTCAGAAAGCAAAGTATTACAAGAAGCAGAAGAAAGAGATACACATTCCCATTACAAACAAACAAAATTAACAAAACAAAACCAAAAACTCGGCCACGATCTAAGACAATAAGATGACAGCCAGCCCTTGAATTTACAGTCCAATACCATCATAACAACTCTCTTCCATTTCCCAAATTTCAAACAAAACAACACTCCAACTTTGGCCAACAAACCATCCCAACTACTAGCCCTTATCATAAAAAACTAGAGTTATTTTCTAACATAAAATTGGTAGGCCCTTCTAATCAAAAAACAAAGTTAACCCAACCTTACTAGGCAACTTCAGATCTAGCAAAAAATCAACAAATTTCCTACCCATTACAACAGGACCAGCTACTTTATCGGCAACAGCATTTGCTTCGCGAAATACATCCACCATTCGATACTCCAAACCACTAAGAAAAGCTTCAATCTTCCTCATATAATCCAGGCAATGCCACGGGCAACACTTGATGTGCCTACATTTTTTATTTCAATAACAAGTTGTTAGTTTGTACTTTCATGCCCATGTACTACATGATTTATATCAATAACAACATTTATTGAATTAATCTTGGATAAAGCTTAGTCTGCATGTGACAAGATATATGCTTAATCTTCTCAAATTCCACTTCATGGTTCGTAATAACAACATTTAGAATAGTCAAGCAACAAGTAACCTCAAAGATATCATGATCCAAGAGCAAGAAACAATAAAAGGCAAAATGATAAAAATAGTATTAAACACATTTTTATCAAACAGAAAATTATCTTTCTCGTCTATACTTTTTGAACTAAACAAAGCGAAACTCGCTGAATAGAGACAAGGGGACACATCCCTACTCTATTCGGTAGTCTTATTGTTCTTATCGACTCATTCTATCATCCTAGGCTTGGCTACGCGAATCATTCAGGGACAACAGCCAGTAAGCATAAATCAACATCAACTAGAGTAAGCAAAGCTAAAGAGAGAATCAATAGGTGAAATATCATATATTACCAAAATCCCACAAAGCTCCAAAACTTGTCATATTTGTTGAAAGCAACAGAAAAAAAAAGACCCAAAATTTACATAAAAAGCTTCATCTTTTATAATAAGCTGAAGCTAAAAATACCAAAATTCGCAACAAATTCCCATACCCAGAAGCTAAAACATTGAAATAACACAAAAAAACAATTCATATGTCTCTGTAGAAATACACGAGATACCTGTTGTGTGACACTCATAGAACCAAAACACACACAAACCACACAGAGTCACACAAAACTCAATAAAGATCACACACACACACCCCGAAAATAAAGATAAACAAATATGTAGATCTATGTATATTGTGGTAAAAAAATAGAGATATTTGTGAAAAAAATACAATTAGGGTTTGTGATGTACAGATCTATGTAGATATATGTATATATATACAAATCTATGTATATATACACATATATCTTTACAAATAAAGGGGTTACACTTACCTTCACAGCAAGGAGACGAGGAGCCTTTTTCTTCATCGAAGCTTCAGAGAAAACAAAGTGAGCCTTCTTCTTCTTCGTTGATCTGTGACTAGAAGATGAAGCTTCTTCTTAATCGATCTGTAAATGGAAGCTGAAGCTTCGTCTATCTATGATTGGCAGAGAGAGAGAGAGAGAGAGAGGAGAAGAGAGTCGGAGAGAGCGTCATTGAGAGAGGAGAAGAGAGACTCAGAGAGAGAGAGGCGAAGATAGTCGTTTACAGAGAGAGATGGGAGAACAAAAATAAAAATGAACACAGAGTCCCCATATTTATAGTTTAGCAAATGAAGTGGTATTTTGTGGCTAACAAGAGTCGAAGTTGAGACCTCATTAAAATGTTAAACGCGTGCTTTGTGTTTCGCGTGTTTCTTGAAACACAAATTTTTTGTTCCCATTTTTTCCAAGACAACTAATATAAAACAAAAACAAAAACAATATTCAAACATACTTTTGTTTTCATTTTTGTCAAAAATTAAAAACAAAAACACAAAACATAAAATAAAGACAGTAAACAAACAGCCCGAAGTACTCATCATGCCTCAATGTTAATGCACTTCTAGATTTTTGTTTTTAACCTTCATATGGTAGGCCATTTATGGGGTTTATATGGTAGATCAAATTCATATTAAACAATGGGTTTATATGGTAGACCATTTTATGGGGTATTTGATCAAATTATGGTTTTTTTTATAACTTTATTCTATCTTTTGATTGGTATTTCATTTATGAGACTTGGTACTCAGCTAAATGGTATATTGTGTAGGGTCCATTTTATGGTTGCAAACGTTTCTTTACCTGTTTTAGACCTGGTAAAATATGGTATCCTAGTAAATATAGAGGTAATCTTCTCTTTATTTTGGCTACAAAAAATAAAATATGTTATGATAATCTATTAGCGTAGGAATAATCCTTTCTTTCTTCGATTGACAGTGGTAGATGTACGCCATAAGTTCATGTTGGGTGATAATACACAAAATTGATTATGTACAATCAAATCAGTCGAGTGTGTGTTGTAAAGTAATTAATAAAACAATTAATAATAAGAGACAAAGATTGAGTTGTTGAATCTAGGTGATCTAACCACTGAAAAACTCTATTAATGAGAGAAAGAGAGAGACAGAGAGAATACGATCCAAATGTAGTCATCCGTCCCCCGTGTAATATACAGGCATAAAGCCCTAAGCCCTAGCTACAGCGGTGACGTCACTACAAAAAAAATCACATTTAGCCGCTAGATTTAAATTGTAACTAAAAATATTATCACTGAATACATATGTTTAGTGACAAAAAAATATTATTGTCACTGCAGGTATGATATTGAAATTATTTAGTGGCTATAGTTATTTGTTGTCACTAAAGATATATAATTAATGGTGAAAAAGTATTATTGCTACTGAAGATATGATAGTGAATCTAATTAGTGATAATTTAAATGTTGTAGCAAAAATATATTACTAATTCATCACTAATTTCAACTATTTAATGACAATAATTTAAATTTGGTCACTAATAATATAAAATATTAGTGATAACATTTTGTACTTGCAACAAATATGCCTTGATTTTAGTGACAATTTTTTTTTTGCCACTGTATGTCAATTTTAGAAAATAAGGTGTCGCTGATAAATGTAAAATAAGCCTAAAAAAACTAAAATTTCTATTTTTCATATAATACGAACGGTGCTTTTAAAATTTCTATTTTTCATACCTTCTATTTCATATTTGCCCGACGATTAATTCTACCAATCTGCCATGGACAACCAATCTACCATTGATGACCTCTCTGCCACGGACATTCTCTCCTAATCCATTCGCTAGGGTAGATCTGCAGGTATTCACCAACATTTATCCTAAGCCATCGACCGTTTCCCAATTCTTCCGCAACATTTATCCCTCACACGACAATTAATTCTTCCCAAATCTTCTTCAGAGATCATCTTCTTCAATCTATCTACCATTAACCTGGCTACCATGGACAACGTCTCTACCATGGATGATCTATCCTAATCCGTCCACTATGGCATAGACCTGTAAGTTTTAATGCTAGACCTCTCTCCAACAGCACTGCAAAGATTGTCTTCTTCAACCTTTGATATGTATGCCATTAACGATCTCTGTTTCTGTGTCTTCTGCTGGTATTCATCAGTCACTCTATCTCACACGCGCGCGCACACACACACACACACACACAAAACCATACACTCAATCGCACACACAATCACTTTGTCTTCACACACACACACATAATCGGGGTTGTCACAATGTAGGGCCTTTCATTTGTTGCATCTCGATTAAGTTTTCTAGCCTATTTTGGCATCAATGCTAGTTTTTTCCTTTCTGTTCAACCAGATGAAATTTGGAGAATCCAATGGTAATTCATGGAGAACCATCTCCATGGAGAAAGAAAGTTAAATTTGTGGGTCTAAGGCTGGACTTTGAAGGATTACTTTACGATGACTATGACCTGATTGAGCCCTCGATCAATTACAATTTGAAGGATGAAGTTGCGAGGAGGACAAAAGAGTTGATGCGTGACACATATGGAAGAACAGTTGTTCTGTTGAGGTAGCACCATGCGGCTTTGCTTAAAACCGTCAAGGTATATGGTGAACTTTGTGGTCAAATTTGTCTTGTCATCTTATTTCACTAAATGCTTAGTATTCCAGGCATGCTAAATACATGGCAAAGTTTTATATATTAAATTAAGGTAAAAGCTTGTCTATTAGGATGTGGAATTAACTTGTGGAAAACTAGTAATCTATGAATTCCTCATAAATTGAGAACACTACACTGTATAGGACTAAGTTTTTTTCGTAATTTCTTGGTCAGACTTGTGATGGTTGACTTATCGGGGCTCATTGCTATTGCAGGTTCTTCTCTATCAAAAATAGATCAGTGGGGAAGAAATTGACTTCATTCTGAACAATTATCCTCCACATACACCTACAAGTCTTATATTGGAGGAAAGAGATCCAGGGAGCCTTCCATTCTTCAAACAAAACTCGAGTTTAATATTTTAATTTTATGTGTGGTGAGTTGGTGGAAATTATTGCGGTGTTTGGCTAGTTGTTTTTTTTTTCTTTCCTCGTCTGATTGAATGATTGGGCCATTATTCAGGAACTTGACTACTTATTTGCTATTGAATTCATGCCGACTTTGCAAATAGCATGATTGAAAACTATGTATCTGAGTTAATGAGTAATAAGCTTTATTGAAAACTATGAATCTCATCTGTTTGGTGAAGTTCTTGTCGTACATCTAAATTTCATGAGGCTTTTGCTTGTTTGGCACACTCACCCTACTTTGAATCTACCTAGGTCTAGTTAGGGTTGCTTAGGGTCATTGTAGGATTATTTTTTGATCTAGTAGTCAATAGCGGAGTGACCCCATACTCATGATATCAATAATCTATGATCCATCTATATATACTCAAGTATTATAATTTTGTTTAATTTTTTTTGCTCTAAACATTCAAAGCTCTACCCACATATAAAGCACAAAACATTCAACTCATCATTTTTCTCTTTTATGTGTTTTAATGGGGAAATTAATTAAGTCTACTGTACAAGGTTTTCCCGTGTGCCTTGCAATAGTGCAATTAGGATTTACTTCCAATTTGACTGTGTCTTGCAATAGTGCACAAATGTTAAGTATTTTGATTCTTTGATGTGTGTCGTTTTAATGATTCTTATTATTTTCTCTGCCTTATCATTCCAAGCATGTAGCAATCCCAAGCATGACACCGATTGTGGGAGCAAACTTGCTTAAGGGTAACTTTTGTGCCCATTTCCATTTTCTTTCTTTCATACCTCAGGGTTGGCACATTTCTAGCTTTAGTTTTTGATTCTCTAGCTTTAAACTTTCAAATATTGATCTTGTTTCTTCTACCAGGTTTAAGGAGCTCGGGGTTGAACTTGTGGCTCATTATAGGGATTCTAGTAGTTCGGTATATTGCTTTGCCTGTATTGGGGGTGGTTGTTATTAAAGCAGCATACAATTTTGGGTTGGTGAGAACAATTCATTGTATCGGTTTGTTCTAATGCTTCAATATGCACTTCCAAAAATTAGGCATCGTTTTCTTTTCTTCTTCTATTTTAGAAGTTTGAGACCTTTAATATTTTCAAAAATCTATGTAATCATTAAGCAAACCACTTTCATGATAACACTTGTTTTTTTGCTATGCATACATTTTGGAAGTTAATGATTTTGTTTCAAATTAACTTTAAAACAACTGCTTATTGAGCAAAAAATTTGTCGGTGAGAAATCATTCACGGTATTTTTGGAATTAGGTACAATTTCATGATAACACTTATTTTTTTACTATGTATAAATTTTTGGAGAATTTGTCTAAATTGTTTGCTTATGTGGGATCTTTTAGGAACCCTGAGCAGATCCCATGGGGTGAAACTACTCCTAATGTTGTTTATGGAGTCTTCACTGACAATAACAAAGCTGCTGCCCATTTGAAGGTTTGCTCTGCCCATTTGGAGTCTTCACTGACACTGAAACTTTGCTATTATTTAGTACTTTTAAGTATGTCTGCATGAACTATCCAACAGTGATCACAACTGTAGCTTGAAACATGCTTTAATTCATGAATGTATAAAATGAGCAAAAGAAACAAGCAGAACCGAGCAAAATAGGATATGTGTCATATTGCTGGGACAAAGAGTTTCGCTTGAGTAAGTTATGATAGCGCGAGTTGTTTTTTAAATGTCTATTGCACTTATGTGATTAAATATACGCATGAAAGAGTCGGGGCAAATTCTTACCTTTCTTCATTGTGATAGGGTAAGATCTCTTAAATTGGAAAAGTTCTAAACACCATGGTTTACAGAATTTCTGATATTCTCAGTTGGTCATTGAAGCTATGTTGACAATTTAGGAGGAATTTGTGAACTATCTTTTGGTCTCACCGGGTGAATTGTCTTTGAAGTCCGTATATGCAGAATCAGTGGAGGATATTGTTTGATGAACTGAATTTTGTAGATTTGTTATTGAAACTTTTTAAGTTGATTGGGGGAATCCTTTTATTGTTTTTTTTTTTGGTTATCCTTTACATTTCCATTCCCATTGTGCAAAATATAGACATATATTTGCTATTTGTGGAATCCTGTTTTTTCTGTCATGTTTTTGGCTACTCTGAAGTGCTTTGGTGATTAAGTGCAAACGTAATAGTTGTACCACTTAATTATGACCAGCTGAGACAATCTTACTTTTATGGGGTCGTAATCTCTTCAACCCCAGTTGTTGTGTAGTCTTGATTTATATTTGAATCATCTCCAATATTTCTTCTCTTGATTTTCTTCAATGAATCTCTATTAATGTTGGGTAATTTATGTTAGGTATAAACCAGTGGAAGTTCTGAAAACAGCTTTGGAAAACTCACCTCTGAAGACTAAAGACGAAAGATGTAATAATTTGCCAAACATCGAATATGTATTTGAAACTTGATTATTATGTAATTACTTTCTTTTGAGTGGGTATCATTGTATGGTTGCTAGGACACAATTCGAAAACATGATTACAACTTTTTTTGTTCATTCCTATTCTTTGATAATGACATGTTGTACACGTACAATTTATAGATGCTAAAATTAGAATGTTATTTTCAAGTGATTTGATTTGAGAATTATATATTTGAAAGTGAGAATTTATTATGTTGGTTTTTTTTTTCATTAGGTATGTATATTGATTCATTAAATTAAAACAGGTATGTGAAATTTGAAAATATTGAAAAATCAATTCTTTCAAATATGCGATAGTTTCTTTGTTCATTTTAATGTATTAATTAGTAACGATAATAAGTTGTCAAAAAATTATGTTTCAATGTTAGTGGTGATTTTAATTATGGGTAAAATGTATACTATTAGCTACAATTAATTATTGTCACTAAATGTTAGGTTTTAATCGGACTTTTAGTGGTGATATAGCATATTTTAGTGGCAAAATTTAGTTTATTTGTTGCAATAATTATGACGGCTAAAAATTTCACATTTAGTGATATTTTTCAGGGTGCAGCTAAAAAATTTATTTTTAGTGGCAACAATTAAATATCATAGCTAAAAGATTTAGCCACACATATATTTCCGTGATTTAGTGGCAATAAAAATATTGTCACTAAAGAATATAGTGACAATTTTTATGCATTTAGCCACAATAATTTTGGCAGCTAAAAGACCAATTTCTTGTAGTGCGTAAAAGTCAAAACACTAATCTATCGGGGAGGATAGTTATAATTGGGGATGAACACTATTTTTGAGTAATGACTATCATGAAGATTGTTCTCCCATTTGCTTTAACATTTTCTTGACTCTTAAATTTCGGACTAAACAGCAAGTCATTAGCTAAACTTGGTCTGCTATTTGATGATTTGTGCTCGACCCACAAACTAGGCCAGTCCTAATTAAATTTGGGCTCGTCATAAAGAATCATAATAAGAACATAGTGAAATTTAAAAAATAATTCATTATTCCAAGATTTATTTTTATCTAATATAGATAAAAAATCCGAGATATATAGAGAAAATTAAGGATTATTTTTTGAAAAATGGTTGTCATGATCTTTAAGCTTTCTCCACTAGCCTTGAATCTTTTAATCTTAATTTGGTCTTTAACTCGAGCCTCATAAATGTTTGGTCTATGTTGATGTCTACACGAGTTATAAACTTAAAAAGATCTAACTTCAACTTTTAATAAATTATATATATATATATATATATATATATATATATATATATATATATATATATATATATATATATAGATGGAGAAAGAGAGAGAGAGAGAGAGAGAGAGGACTGCTTCTTTTGTGCTAGCAGTAGTTATGGTCGGCCTCCTTCTCCTGGAGGTGTTATAGAGGCATTGAAGATCCCAATGGGTGTAACTGCAATTACTCCATAATTATACAATGACTCTTCATTAACTTATTAATTTTAATAAGTCCCTTGTAACCCTTAATTAGGTTTTTAGCCCAATTAACTTCGAATTGGTTTATGTCCCTCTAAATAGCATCTTGAATTCAAACTCTTTAATTTAGTTTGAATTCGACTCTTAAAATTCTACCTTTATAAAAAAAACATATCTATATTATTTTAAAATATTAGCATACCTGAAAATATTTATTTTTTTAATTTTTACCCTCCAATACTACAACTATGTCATATTTATCCTCTAAATTTAATGTCACAATGTATCTATATCTATATTTATATTTATAGTCATATCTATAAAATAAAGTAGTTAGTTTGGTTTGTCTTGAACTTTTCGCGGCTCAAATTAATTTAATATTATTGATTCGACGATTATAATTAATCTACATTCCTACAGAACTCTAATACATTCTTTTTATCTCTCCTCATCTCCATTCAAGAGATTGACTTTGACAATTATATATATATATATAATAAACAAAATATATTCTAATATCTATAAAAACTCTAATAAAAAAGATTATCTCTAATAAAATATAGGTTCATTAACATATGTTGTTATGTATATATATACTACTCATAACCTGTGCCTGAATGCACGATAAAATATAAAATTTTAATTAAATATTAAATGATTAAATATATGATAGAAATGAGTGATATGATATTTTTAGGAAAGAAATATATAAATAATTAAATATGTAATAGAAATGAGTGATGCGATTTGATGTTTGAGTCTGACAAATGAATGATGAGTGAGATAAGTGATTGGTGATGGTTTTGAGGGAGAAAATATGACTCGGATAAAATTCAAATGCACTCCTGTTTTATTATATATATATATATATATATATATATATATATATATATATATATATATATAATTCAATCTATATATATAATTCAATCTATATAATAAGCAATTCAAATGTGTAGTTTAAAATCTATACAATAAAATAGCTAGATTTATTTGTATTGAGATTTTTGCAGCTTAGATCATTTGAGAATTATTGATCCGACAAGTCTAATTAGACTTTCATTCCTTTTAAAACTCTAAGACTCGCATCTCTAATATAACAATCTTTCTCTCTCTATCTCATAAAACCAACTTGATGCAAGAGGATCCGAGTCAGATGATGCTGAGTTATCAGATGGCACGTTGATGGCGCTGAGATACCTTGAGTTAGCAGATCAGCACAGTTAAAAATTCAAGTCTAAGAAGGGTTGACATTGTTTTAATCATAACTTTTGATCCGTTTGGAGTTTTGGGGCCCATAATATATTAAATCGAAGCTCTCGACGAGCCCTACAAGATACATAGCCTATGGTAGTGAGAGGCATTTTTTAAAGCCAAAAAAGGCCTGGAAACGTTTGTTTGGGTCTTCCAAAATTTTTTCCCCAATTTTTGAGTTTATTTGGATTTTTTCGTAATTTAATTATTCTTTGTGTAATGAGGGTTTTTAGCTTATTATTTAGTATTTAAAGGATGTTTTCATGTGTTTTAGGGTTAACTATCATTATTATAATTTTATAAAGATTGTGGCTGCTTAGTCAATTCTTTTTGGGCGATTCTCTTGTGTTCTTCTATGTGAATTATCTGTTGAAACTAACCTGCAGAATAATCGCTATTCTGTCCAGCTTCAGTTGGTATTAGAGCTTCAACATCTTCTTGGGGTGAGATTTCATCAGTTTAATGGCTGGTGGTCGTGGTTGTGGTTGTTGTGGGCTGGTTCCAAACGAGGAAGTCTCGTATCATGATCGTAGCGTTCAGGATGTAATGATTGAGGATTTGCAGAGGCAAGTTGCAGAGTTAACCCGGCGTCTAACGGCGCAGGATTTTGGTGAACTGAGATGGAAGATCACGGTTCCGAATCCAATTTTGAAAACTCGTATCAAAATCGTGCTCAATTCTGGAAGCACCGTGGTAGGGAGGATCGTCGTGGAGACCTCGATTTCAGAGTGGATCTACCCGAATTTTTTGGTACGTTACAGGCCGAGGGATTCATCGATTGGTTGAATGAAATGGAGCAAATTTTTGATTATACGGAAAGTCCCAGATCATGTCACAGTGAAACTGGTCGCTATCAAACTCAAAGGCAGAGCATCTGCATGGTGGGAACAGTTGAGGCGATCACGAGAGAGGCAGGGCAAAACCAAGATCACTAATTGGGAGAAGATGAAGAAGAAGATGAAAGGACACTTTCCTTCCTTTTGGCTACACTCAAACCTTGTTTCAACGACTTCATTCGTTGAGGCAAGGCAAAAGATCAATTGATGATTACACGGAGGAGTTTTATCAATTGATAGCCTAGAATGATTTATTTGAGATAGAAGAGCAAATGATGGCGCGATATTTGGGGGGATTATGGCAACCCCTGCAAGATGTCCTCAGTCTCCATTCGCTGTGGACCGTTTCTGAAGCATACTAACGTGCAATTGTTGTGGAAAAACAACAGAACAGGAGGTCAGTAATTAGAAGCGATCAAAGCAATCGACCAGTTCGCCCTCAAGAATCCCGTCCTACCCAACAACAACCACAAGGTAATTCTAACCCTAATATTAGATACTTCAAATGTGGCAAATAGGGACATAAAGCGACTGAGTGCAAGAAGTCTGCTAGTCAGAAGGGCAAAAATCTCCTAATTGAGGAAGACGTGGTAAATGAAATTGAGGAGGTTGGAGAGCCTGTGTATGACGCTGATGAAGATGGAGATGTGCTATATGGAGATGGCCATGAAACTTTGGTCGTTTGTAAAGAGTCTACTGACTCCCAAGGGCGATTTAGGGGACAATTGGTTGAGAACCAATATTTTTCACATGACCTGCACAGTTACAGATAAAGTTTGCAAGATGATCATTGATAGTGGCAGTTGTGAGAACGCAATGTCTGAAGAGACTGTCCAAAAATTGCAGTTGAAAACAGATTGTCATCCCAAGCCATACAAATTATCATGGCTAAATAAAGGAAGTGCGGTAACAGTAGATAGGCGATGCTTAGTGTCTTTTTCGATCGGCAGGAAATATTTGATAATGCTTGGTGT